ACTAAATTGATGTCATGAAATTCTAATTGTGGTAATAAGGTTATCAAGATTCCACCATTCCTTTTTATCTTTTCATCATTAATGATCTTAAAACAAATTCCATTAATTGATCTATGTCATTTTTCTCATCCAATCACAACTCACAAGTTGTATTGACTAATCTATCACTATGTTCATCATTAGGTCATGTTATTTGCCCTTTTTAAATCATTTTCTCAGGCTTCTTTCACTTTTTTCACCTTAGATTTCTTTCAACAGAATGGAAAAATCTTTTACAAATATTGCCATTCATTTATTTTTCATCATTCCAATTTATGACATATGATACATTTTCTCAATTCATTCAAAGGATGCAAACAAGAAAAATTGGTATTCATTATTAAACAGAAGTCTAGCCAATAGCAAATTAAAGGAGAACAAAAAAAACATACTATGGAAATGGGATATTAACATCCAGAACAACGACTATTTAGACAATTCTGAACTCTAACTCAAAATTTTTTTTCAAAATACATTCTATCGATATTTTCAATCTTTGAGCCACTTATCATTCATATTATTGGGATCTTGAAATGAAGTTATTTTTTTGAATCTCTATTTTTACTTAAACTGCCCTTTCAAGTTTTTAGTTTAAGTTTTCCTTTTTTCTCTTTTGTATTTTTATTTTGTGTTTTTATTTTTTGCCTTTTTTTACACATCTTTTTCTCATCTTTCTTCTCATTTCTTTTTTTCCTTTATCCATCAATGACACATTGACCGAATCCCAAACAATCCAATGGCAAATTTACTTTAATTCAATTCATAGTTCTCTAATTCGAGTATTCATATTAAATCAAAATGGATTTTTAAAGGACATAATGTAGGCTAGGGTGAAGGGTTATGAAAGAAATTAATAAAATAAATGCAAACTATATTTGAAGGATAATCAAAACCAAGGATCATTTTTTCCATGTAAGGCACGTTGACATTTTGCCTAATCAATTTTTTTTTCTTTTTTTTTCTTACTCTTTCTTTTTTTTTTCCTTTTTTTTATCATTTTTTAAAAAAATTAAGTATAAAAGGCTTTACCCTAAAAATCACTAAGGGTCTTCATTTTTTTTTTTTTTGTAAACAACACTTTTCAAACTTTGCCCTAATGTAGGATGATATTTGGCTAGAGTTCCTTAAAAGAAAATTTTAACAAGCTCAAATGGTGTAGCAAAAGTTAATTTTACTCATTTGGTGAAAGGTAGAAGAAAAATGGCTATTTATCATTTTAAACATGAATACTCTCAATGAAAAACACTTATTGATGAAGAACGAACTTTGAATTAATCATTGCAAAGATCATGTACTACATTAGTTTCATCTTTCAAAGTGAAATGTTTTGCCATATGTGTATTTTCGTATTCAAGAATTTCAATTAATAATCTCAACTTATCAATCATATTAATATGAATGACGTTTTTAAAATCAAATTCTAAATTATTTCATGATTATTTGAACATTCATTATAAAGAATAGATATAGAAAAAAATATGAAAAGGTTAAAGTATATAGTGGTGATTCACACAAAAAAAAAGTATCATGAAAATGTATCAAATTTGCCATTTTTATTAAAATGATGAATAATAAGATGAAATTTTAGTACAATAAAAGAAATCATTATTATGAAGAAATCCTAAGATGATAAGCAATTCCAATCAACCTTCCCAAAATTACAACCCTGTGTGATCAGGCAAAGGATCTTTATGGACATTCAACTTTCTTGATACGTTGAAGTTCATCGAACCTACATGAATTAATCTTTGCACCTTTTGCTTGAAAGCAAGATAAGTTTCTATTAAGTGACACACATTCTCATTATGGTAATCACATGTGACATTAACATAGTACCATTTGAGATAGGGTGGCTTCAGTGGTTTCAAAAGGACTAGAGATATCAAGTCATTCTTGAACAATTTTAGGAATAACTCAGTATAGGTTATAAGGATAGATCAATGCAATCTCTCTCTTGGTTACACTTGAATCTTCTCAAACCATTTATTTGATTATTAGGCCTTGAAACTAGTGTAGTGACAGGATTGGGCCCATATGTAAGTACTTGAAAAGTTGGTTGATAAAAGCTTAGATACATGTTATTCATGGTTGGGTAATAGGGCTAGTAAAAAACTTGTGCAATATTATTAATTGCAAGGTAGTAAGCAGGATAAACAGATGGTGGATATAAAGCATAGCCTCTAAACTGTAGGCCTTCAAAACTCACAGCCTAGGTTTCAGCTTCTTTCTTTTTGGGCAACCCCCATTTCTTGACACTATTGGCTTTTTCTTTCTCTAGATTGCCATTTTTTATGGCATTTTCAATAAACTTCCTAAAGATCACCATGTCAACAAAGTTCTTTGTTGCGTTCCCTATCATATTCTCATAATAGCATGCTTTTAAGGTGCTAACAAAAATAATGTCATTTATTTTTCAGTCAGAGGAGGTTGAACTTGAACAGTCATATCCCTCCATCGTTAGGTATATTTTTTGAAGGACTTCATAGCCTTCTGCTTCATGCTTTGTAAAGAAAGGCAATCAAGGGCCAAGTTAATGATGTGATGCTATTGATTAATGAAATAATGAGTCAAATCCTTCTAGGATCGGGTGCGGGTTCTATGCAACTAAACATACTACATTGCAGCAAAATTAGTTAAATTATCTTGGAATATATGCATAAGTAACTTCTCTTTACTAGCATAAGCTACCATTCTATGACAATACATTATAACATACATGATAAGACATTTTATTTCGTCATATCTCTCAAACTCTAGTACCTTAAACTTTGAGGGTATCACCACATCTAGTACCAAATAAAGCTAAGTGACAACCATAAAATTGTAAAAATCAATGCCTTCCATAGCTCGCAATCTCTCTTTGAGCATGTTTATCATATAATTAGCTTTAAAGTCTTCCAAACTTTCAACTACCTTTAATTTCCACTTCTCATTATCTTTGAAGTCATCTAAGTTGAGAATCGGGACTGGCTTAATGGCCTTTTCTAGGAATATAAGATTAACAGAGCTTTGAAATTGCCCTTGAATTGGTGTGTATGGCATTCTTGTATAATTATACTATACAGAAAATGTGAATTATTGTGATAAAATGCCTTAAGTGGACTAGACTTGATGTGGGCCATAACTAGGATGATGCAAAAGATCAACAACTTCCTGCAATGGATGATTTTTAGGTTTAGCTTTTTTTTTTCTACAATCTTTCCTTTATTCAACTTATTCAGTGCCTCTAGGATCTTATTTAGCTCCCCTTTAATTTTCTCTTGTGCCTTCTTTAACTTCTTGACACTGCTTGCATTTTTTTGCTTCATTCTTTTAGCTTAGGCCGAGGTGAAATACTAGTGTTGAGCTATCGTCAAACCTTAATTTCCAACAATTAGGGTGCGAATTTATAATGATGTTTATGGAACCATCAGATTATGCAAAAGAATGATTACAAAAAATGCATCAATGCAATAAAGAGAATTTACCACATAACAATTGTTATCAAAGAAAATCTTTATTGAACTAAAAGTTATTTCTAATGAAATCCAATATTACATTCATGAAAAGTCTAGAATTTACTGAGGAAAGAAATCCCTAATTCGTCAATACTAGCTTTGCACTTCATTAAGGAAACCTAGCAAATCTTAGCCATGTACTCCCACTGGTGGCACTCTTATCTTTTATTCTTCAACCTTTTCTACCATGCTTTTGGCTTCACAAGCAGTCATAGTGATTTGGTTAAGCAAAAACTCCAACTAGTTATGCTTTCTCGCATATGCCTATTTTAATTGCTCACATTCTTCATTCACAGCTCTCATTTGCATTCTAGTTGTCACCACCACTCCATTCAACATTTGGATGTACCTTTGTACTTCAAAGAGTGCCTTTTTTTTTTCTTGTAGCTTTGCTTACAAGCGTCCATTTTTTTTTTCAAAAGTTGGGCCTGCTCTCAATTAATGGTTAACCATGTCATGTTAAGGTTAGTGAACAAAGTCTTCCATTCATCCTTTTCTTGTTCAAGTGCTTGAACTTCCCTTTTAGCCTTTTGTTTGCAAGCTTCAACTCTGTGAGTTCCCTTTTCAGGCCATTAGAGGACTTTGTTAGGCTTTCCATAGATGTAACTAAAACTTTCCTTATTAGAATTATTTTGTTGTAATCACTCCTTATGATAAATCTAATGAAGTGGATATATGAATAGTAAAAAAAATGGTTACTATACACAAAATATATACAAGGAACAATATATAAATACAAAGAACAACATAAAAGGTTAGTATTAAGTAAATTTTAAGAGTTAGTTTGAAATATCCGCATAATTAATAAAAAGGTTGTAATGAGCAAAATTTTGATTGCAAATAGAATTTCTCTGCTAATTATAATCCAAAAGCTTATTGGAAAATAGAAAATTACAAATAAATGTAATGAACTAAAATAATGAGATTTTGCTATCAAACAAAATCTATTAATAAAAAAGAAATAGAACTTTTAAAAATTGTCAAAATAAAATATAAAATCTTAAATTGGAAGAATATTAAAACTTTAAGTCTTAACCGAAACAAGTGAAAGAAGAAATCCTAAAATTTAGGTTTGCGTAAAAATTAGAGCCAAAAGTTGGTTTTAGCCTCAATAGTTTTTCTAAATTGTAAGTCTCTAACTTATAAATCTAATTTCTTGGTTATATTTGATCTATAGGACCGAACAAGACTTGTAACTAGCTACTTATAAACAAATAGAAACAACAAGAATTCATCGTCGATATGACAAATTTAAACATTTTAACAATCTCTATTCTCTATGTTTTCGTAATTGCACACTATAATCCCTTTAAGCCTCCACACATCTAATACTTACTGACGTTGAATTTCTCATTTGTATAGAAAAACATTACTGATACTGCTCGAAATTCCGAGACACAATAAGGATCGAAGATATAACGATCGAAAGGATCGTTGTATGAATCAACCCTCACTGTTTATGTACTAAATAAAGGGACTGTCCCAGAAATCATCGACAGGATCATAGTTGGAATTACATTCATATATGGGTTCATAGAGCCACAGCTGAGAATTTGGTGACAGAGCTTGACAATAATCGTTGTCCGAAAAACTCTGTATATTCCAATACTTTTCAGATGAAACAAAATTGTCGTCCATGGTGCAAGTGTTATCCACCACGGCAGCATGGTTCGAGCCTGATGCAGAAAAAATGCAAGTGGCTGGTTCTGGGAAGTCCTCCAATTTAGGAATTGGTGAGCCCAACAAAGTATCGAGGAATAAGGAATTAGCGTCAGATTTGATACCGGAAATGATTTCTGTAGCTGGTGTAGTTGCTGATGCTGAATTGTTCTCCAGTACTACTCTTTTCTTCAAGCGAGTGTTCCAGTAGTTTTTTATATCATTGTCAGTTCTTTGAGGAAGCATTGCTGCAATTGCTGACCATCTGAAAATTTATAATCAAAATTTGAAAAAATCAGAAACTATAAATCTATAATCTAGTGTTTTGTAGACATGACTGTTTTTTTACCGATTTCCTAGCATCTTTTGCAGCTGGACTATAGTTTCTTCTTCTTCCCTGGTGAAGTTTCCACGCTTTATGTTAGGCCTCAAGTAATTCATCCAACGAAGCCTGCAACTCTTCCCTGATCTCGACAAGCCTAGAAATCAAAATGAACTGTATGTAAGTACTCCTAATCACACAAAAAAATCCTGATGTAATTTAAGTTTTATATTAAATTGGTAGCTTGCTCTTGCTCTCATACCGGCATATTTGGGCATTTCATTCCAATTCCAAATGCCATATTTCTTTATATAAGCAATCAGCTTCTGGTCTTCGTCAGGGCTCCGTGTTCCTTTCTGTAGAAAACAGGTTCCATTCCTGGATGGTTGCCTCACCATCTTGAGATCCTATACAATCTAGTAAAAAAACCACAACACAATCCTGCTATGCAAATTCTAACATGAATCTCTGGATTGTATTTAAATCGTCAATTTTCCGAAGCTTCTAATCATCTAACCTAGGAACTTGTCAAAGACGCAAATGTTTACTTGGAAAAAAAAACCTCAATGAGTCTTTTTTTAATTCCATTGGATTGGCAAGTTAGAAACTTTTATTTGGAAAAAAAAAAAGGATAAGAGAACACAAGAAGACAAAACAACTAGTAAAGTGTCTTTACGTTGCATTTCTGATTGTACATTGCATGTTAACTGTTACAAAAGAAAAAGATGATTGTTTAATTAAAAAAGTAGATATAGTCAGTGCATCGTCTAAAAAGGAGGGCTAGCATTATTCAAATGTTTAATTTATTCATTTTAGGAGTTAAAATAAGTGGCAGTCTACAAAAGTTGAACTTAATTTAGAGATGTCTTATACCAGCACATTTAGGCATTTCATTCCAATTCCTAATGCAATGTCTCATAATATAAGTAATAAGCTTCTGATCTTCGTCAGTGCTGCTGGCTCGTTTCTTTAGAAAGCAGTTTTTGTTCCAGGATGGTTTTCTCACCATATTGAGATCACTATTCCCCAAGTTATTCAAGCAACTCAAAAGTTTGAAGTTCTTCAAAAATATCGAATATGAACCTCTCTCTCTCTCTCTCTTTTGTTGGATAAGTATTACGTACCAGAAAAATCAAGAGCAGGAAAAACCCTGCTACAAGGTATACAATCTGGTAAAACAACACAACTCAAGTATGCAAACTCGAACATGAATATCTCTAGATTCTATTGAAATGGTTTAGTTTCCCAAGCTTCTAATCATCTAACTAATTAAGGACTTGCCAACGACGCAAATGTTTACTTGGAAAAATCATTAATGAGTGTTTTTTTTTTTAATTACATTGCATTGGTAAGTTGGAAAATTTTATTTGAAAAGAAAAAACAAGAGAACAGTAGAAGACGAAATTTGAAAAAAAAAATTATATAAATTGGTACCTAAAAAAATAAAATGTACAATTTATACTCTAAACTTTAAAATAATGCATTATTTTAATAAAAATTTTAATGTTGTTTATTTAATTTGCCTATATGGTATCTTAACAAGTCCAATTTTATTATATGTGTGTCATTTGTTAAATAAAAATATTAAATATTTTGTAAATTATCGTATGGATGCCATATGACTGCCAAGTGACAAGTAATAATAAATTCAATTTTAAAATTTTTTATTTAAATAAAAAATATTTTTAAATTTATATTGAAAAAAATTGATAATATATGTGATAAATACATAATTTGATAATATTTATCAAATACCACATATATAAATTAATATAGTAAGGCAACTTAGAGTTTCTTAACATAATACATAATTTAAAAGTTTAAGGTTGTAAATTATATTATAGGGACAGATCCAAATGGATACTTAGGATGTCCATGAACACCTCAAAAAATTAAAAAATAAGAAAATTCAAAGGGAATAAATATTTTTTCAAAACACTTTCTAAATTTTTTCCCTAAACGTGCCTTAAGGAGTGAAAGAAAAAAAAAAAAAAGAGAATTGAAGAAGAATTTTTCCTGAATATATAACCCCAAAAATATTTCCCTAGACATCATTTCATCAATAAAATAACTAAATCTGTCAGTATTTTTTATTTATATTATAAATAAATATCTTCAAAAAATTCTTGGATCTATCATTTGTCGAACATTTTATTTCTTTAAATATCAATATATACATTTTTGTAAAATCATGCATTAAAAATGTAATTAAATCAAGACAAAACAACTAGTCAAGGGTCTTTACCTTACATTTCTGATTGAAGAATGCATATACTGTTACAAAAGAAAAAAAAATGCTTGTTTAATTCTAAAATGAAGGGCTAGCATTACTGAAATGTTTAATTTATTCATTTTAGGAGTTAAATCTGAGGCAGTCTAAAATTAATAACATCAAAGATGACATATGGTCTAAATTTTGTATTTAATTTCTAAACTTACTTGGACTTGGAAATCATACAAATCTTCTATTTTGTGTTGTCTTTAGTAAAAGGATGCGCAGCTCCTGTACACACGTCCTTTTTTCTAAGAGATGATATTAACTAATTTTTTTCTCTAAGCCAGGAATTTTATTAGAAAGAACAAATGCATGACCACTTGCATATGAGAACAATACTCCCCCACATCTGGAAAATTCCAAAAAGAAAAACAAAATAGAGCAGGACACAAGATCACACGTCAGACACCAAAATTCTTTAGCAAATATAACTCAAAAACAAAAACCTCCCACAACTACGCACAAAAAAATCAACGATATGACATCATAATAAGATTATATTGTAGCTTATTCCATTCACATTTTGAAATAAATAAATAAATATATATTTATAAGAGAATAAAGATTCAATATTGAAGAAGAATGATCAAATTAAGTTGTTTGGTTTGTGAGTTCCTTATTGAGTTATTAACACAATTTATAATCGAAATTAAAACTGACTTGGATGCAAGAGAGAGCTCAATCCCACTAAACCAAGGTATATAGAAGTTTTACTGCTCTTTTGTGCTTCTCAATGGATTCCAAATGGCCACCTACACAAGAGAGTGAGAGAGAACTGTGCTCTACCTCCAAAAACTAAAGTTATGAAACCTATGGATCGACCTCATATATATAAAGGTGACAACATGGACATCCTTTAATATGTTAGTTAAAATTGACTGATCTTATTATGGATCCAAATACAAAATTAAACCGAAATCACTCTTAACTAATATTATACTATGAGATCAGGTATGTCACAAAATGGTAGCACTATAATTACTCATAATTTGGCATTAATGGACCTAGATCCAGATTAGGTGATTGTGTTAGTTCACAATATGAGATAAATTGCATCAATCTTCCATTTAGATAACACATGTCAATTTTGAATTTTTTTAAAAAAATAGTTTAATATATATACTTATACAATTAAAAAACTAAATCCGGACTAATAAAATCGTAATGACCAAAATTGTCATATAAGAGTAAACACCGAATCATCATATATAAAAATAAGCATTTATAAGCCCCAAGATACATATACTGACAAGAAACAAATGTGTGGATTTACCTGTCCTCTCCAATAAAAAGTATT